CAAAGCTGTGATGATGATGATGTCTGTGTGATGGACCCAGAGGGGGATGTCCTTGCCCAGAGAAGTGGTGGTGGTGGTGGTGGTGATGATGTTCTCCAGAGTGGGGGTGATGGTGGAAGGGAGGTCTGTCACACTTTCCGTAACCAAACCAGTGTAAATAGTCATCAAAGATGTTCATGTCACATACACACACACACACACACACACAAAGAGAGAGAAAGCAATAAAAGGAGTTATTTACAAGGCTTTCATTAACACCTATACATTTCAAACATAGGACTATAATAGAGTTGGCGAAGTGGAAATACCATATGATGCCAAGTGACCAATCTGTATTACCCGGAGGCAACTAGGAATAACAAACAACAATGCAATGAAATGAAACAATCAATTAGCCAAAATTTTCATAAACAGCTTTTTGCAAAATAATTACAAAAACAAAATTAGCAAAATTTTACTTGTGAATGGCAGAAGGGCCATGCCTCCATATGTATTTATGCAGCACCCAGCACTAGAGGACCCAGATCCTGATTGACACCTCTGAGTGCGATCAGAAAATAAAGAGCAATAACAAGAAGAAAAAGAAAAAAGGCAAAATTTATTCCCTCATTTCTTCATTGCAACTAGTTTGCTCTGCTCTGTTCCTGAAAATTTTATCTGTGGTACATCTCAATAATAGGCTACCAAATCGCTCAACATGCTGGGCCTGAGTCTCATTTACAATAGGACCCCTTACACCACTCTGGCAGGTTAATGGTGTCTTACAGTGGATGTCAATGTAATTAGCAGTGTAAAGGTGCCTTAATGTTAATGAGAATCAGGCCCATTATTTCTATTTCTTTACCTTATTAGGTCTTCTACAGGCTGCTGTAACTCTTATGCTTATTTGGACTGAAAATCTTTTCCCTTATTACATATTTATTAAACAGTATGTGACAAATTCATGTTTGAGGTAACTCCAGTGAACACAATAAGGACAAATGCAAAGTACTCCACTTAGGAAGGAACAATCAGTTGCACACATACAAAATGGGAAATGAGAGTGCCTAGAAAGGAGTACTGCAGAAAGGGATCTGGGGGTCATAGTGGACCACAAGCTAAATATGAGTCAACAGTGTAACACTCTTGCAAAAAAAGTAAACATCATTCTGGGATGTATTAGCAGGAGCATTGTAAGCAAGACACAAGAAGTAATTCTTCTGCTCTACTCCACGATGATTAGGCCTCAACTGAAGTATTGTGGCCAGTTCTGGGTGCCACATTTCAGGAAATATGTGGACAAATTGGAGAAAGTCCAGAGAAGAGCAACAGAAATGATTAACGGTCTAGAAAACATGACCTGTGAGGGAAGATTGAAAAAAAACTGGTTTTGTTTAGTCTGGAGAAGAGAAGACTGAGAGGGGACATGATAACAGTTTTCAAGTATGTAAAAGGTTACAAGAAGGGAGAAAAATTGTTGTCCTTAACCTCTGAGGATAGGACAAGAAGCAATGGGCTTAAATTGTAGCAAGGACTGCTTAGGTTGAATATTAGGAAAAACTTCCTAACTGTCAGGAACTTAACCTAACTGGTTAAGCACTGGAGTAAATTGCCTAGGGAGGTTGTGGAATCTCTAGCACTGGAGATTTTTAAGAGCAGATTAGATAAACATATCAGGGATGGTCTAGATAATACTTAGTCCTGCCATGAGTTCAGGGGACTGGACTAGATGACCTCTCAAGATCCCTTTCAGTCCTACGATTCTATGATACGGGTCTTTTAGCACTCAGGAAACTAGCTAATCCCTAAATGGATGTCACCAGGAGGAGACTAATTTCCAGGGTGTGCATGTATATATTCTAGCAGTTGGTGTAGCATGGAGTAAGGGAGTCTGTTGGGAGGCAGCGTTAGATTGGAATGCTTGCCTGCAGTGAGTCATCACTGTCACTGTTGCTTGCTTTCTGGGAATCACACATTCCTGCCCCTTCACCATACTCTGCTTACCCCCATACTAGGTCTAACATCTGCACTCAGGTCAGGAAACAGCAGGAGATAGGCAATGCGCAGCATCAGCTGAGATCAGGCTTCTGGCACGGAGCCCGTGGCTGCTTCATGAAGGTAGCTCACTCAGCCAGAGGATAAATGCATGTAAGCTATAGGTTATCTGCCCATTTATTGGGGGTAACTTTCTGGCATTCACATAGGTGTTTGTGGGAAGTGTCTCATTATGAAGGTGAAGGAAACAGAAGTGATGGGTGGTGTTCATTTTGTGGGGTAGACTATAGGAAGAAAATATTCTTCCTCGATAGCTCAGCGCAGTCTGCCTTGCATGAATATTCTTGTCCTAAGGCTTAATTATGATTTAATGTTTACTTTTTATATTTAGAATATAGACTTGTACTCCTGTCACCTACTTACAATGTACTACTGAGCCTTGCATTATATCGAAGATCAGGGTTGCACTGCACAGCCCTTTCATGTCAGGTTATGGTATGTGATTTTGGTTTTCTGTTCGTTATAACAAGTTGTATATTGCAGATGTCAGAAGAGATGTGAGGGCGTCACTGGCCATGGGTGGCTCATCCCAGTTTAGATGGATCCCTTAGGTGGCATAGAGCCAGTGAAGGAGGCATGACTGAGAGAAAGAGAGCATAGCCAGGGCTTCCTTGTACCCTGGTGATCCTTGGCTGCCATGTAAATCCCGTGGAGCTATTGGTACCAAGCACAATTTAGAGCAGCCCTCAGTCTGCTTAATTTATTCCAGGGGAGTGGCCTGGTACACAGGTGACGTAGAGGGGAACACAGAAGTGGTATACAGCCACCCTTGTACTCTTCTCCCAAGGTCACTCGTCGGCTGCAGCAGTCAGTCTGGGCCTATTCAGTGTGCTTCTTTCCATGAAGCCTCAGGAGCATGCATTCGAAAGTTGCCAGGGATGTTTCTGTAACGTTAAGATAATTGACTACATACCCAGGGACCGTAGATTTCACAGGATATCTCAAGTACATCAGGATTTTTTGTGTCACTCGCAAATTTTCCCTTGCAGAATCCCACGCGCTGTGAAGGAAAAATAACATACATTTGGGTTCTTATGATGTTGAAGCCAGTGGAAGCTACTGGATTCTCGGCAGGTTGAAAATCAGGCCACTTATTTAGGTATCTACCTCTGGGTCTTAGGAAACTAACTTTAAGCACCCATTTTGAAAATATTGGCCAATTATATTTACCTATTAAATCATATCTAAAGTGCAAAGAATTATTGAGGCCAGATTGTTCCCCGTAATCACGGACATCCTCTCTGCATCAGTCTATAAGGCCATTACTCCATTTCCTTCAAAACCTCCTCAAGACCTACTTCTAGTACATGAGCAATTAGCCTGCTTACTCTGGTTCCTGGTGGGGGTAGTTGATCTATTTTTCAAAGGAAAAAAATCCTTTGAATGTATGATTTTATCTCTCGCCCCTTCCGTTTACTTATCTCTTGTCTCGCTAGATTGGACTAGACTGAACCTTTGCTCAAAACCCTGAGTAGTGGGCCACATCTAGCCCCAGGAAGGAATTGATTGCCCTTCACTCCCCCCTTGCTCCTGAGAGGAAGTAATTTACTGCAGATGTTTACAGAGGGCAGATTAATGTCCCACTCCTGATAGCTATACTCTCTTGGCCAGTGCATTTGAGGGGGAGACAAGGTTCCCCCTACACACATCTCTCTGCCCACTCCTATGCACTTGCTTGTGTATGGAGGAGTATGGACCCCTTCGAGCCTATTCTTTGCACATGGACTCATGACCCAGTCAGGCCGCAAGGGGCATGTAAGAAACACTGGGTCATATTGTGAAAATTTACCCTTGTCCCAACACGTTGCAACAATTCCTTCTCCACTGCTCTACTTACAGCATGTCTGTCATGCAGAAATTCACATTCAGACACATTTGCATGTGGTGTGGATTTGGAGCAGCAGGTCTCTTTTATAGTAAATTCGACAAAGTATCCTGGCTGAGGTGTGACCTGGAAGAAACAGTCTGTATGAGCACCAAGTGAATAACCTAATGCATTTGAAATACACTTTATCATTTTAAAAAATAACATTAATTTCATTACTGTAGCCCAAATGTCACTCACAGAACTCTTTGACTAGCTATGGTGTTTTATGTTTTTGCACATGCACCCATGATGAGTAAGGAGTGCAGGATTTGATATTATAGCATAATTCCCTCGCTAATAAATTTTTTTGCATGAGTGTCTGCTTCTGTGTCTGCCACGTGCTGTCCACCATATCTCCTGTCCCTTTCTTGACCAGGGCCTGTGTTTTCAGAAAGTAGAGCCACTAGATTCTTCACCCTAAGCACAATTTCTACTTTCTTAATAATCCAGAGGCCGACTGAATGGGAGTTTCTCGTATCCAGTGATGGAAGAATAGGATCTGGAAGTGCTGATACTAATTTAGGACCAGATTCTGCCACTTCAGTGTTTAATTCACACTGAAATCAATGGTTTCAGAGTAGCAGCCGTGTTAGTCTGTATCCGCAAAAAGAACAGGAGTACTTGTGGCACCTTAGAGACTAACAAATTTATTTGAGCATAAGCTTTCGTGGGCTACAGTCTACTTCATCGGATGCATGCAGTGGAAAATACAGTAGGAAGATATATATATACACAAAGAACACGAAACAATGGGTGTTACTATACACACTATAAGGAGAGTGATCAGTTAAGGTGAGCTTTTATCAGCAGGAGAGAAAAAGAACTGTTTGTAGTGGTAATGAAAATGGCCCATTTCCAGCAATTGACAAGGAGATATGAGAAACTGTAAACCTATTTCCCCTTCCCTCCCCCCCCCCCCCCGCCCAGTTCCTCATATCTCCTTGTCAATTGCTGGAAATGGGCCAATTGCTGGAAATGGGTCTCTAAGGTGCCACAAGTACTCCTGTTCTTTTTACTGAAATCAGTGGCACTGCGTACAGAGTAAGGTACTGCTCAGTATGAGTAAGGGGGCAGAATCTGGCCCTTGCTCCTGCAGAAATTAAAAAAACCCCAAACCTTCTGATACTAGTAGCTCCAGAACAGATTTTTCCCATGTTCAATTTCATCTGAAAAAAAAAAAGTTATTTCACCTCTATATTGGGAATTACCTCAGCTAAGGGCTTGCCTACACATAGAAGTTACACTGGTTTAAATAAATTGGTTAAGAAATTGGTGCAAACCCATGAGTAAGGTGAGTGGGATTTGGGTTATAGTAATGAAATTAACATTATTTTTTGGTGGATACTCGGATTTCAAACTAAGTACCCTATATCAATTTAACTTAAATTGGCAAATAAATAAATAAATACATTACATTGATATAAAACACACAGTCTAAGTGATTATCCAAAATAAGTGTGTCCACACAAAGTGTTTGCAGTGATTTAACTAAACTAGATTCTACACAATACTCAGACTGTAGGTAGACCAAGTCAAAGTCTACACTGGATAAAAGGGCTGGAGCAGCATGCAGGGGCTCTAAAAGCCCCAATCTGGCCAAGGCAGGGACCCCCATAAAGCTAAGGGTAGGAGGAGAGGTGTGTCGGGGTGGGCCCACAGCACACAGCACTATGGAGATTCCAAGCAGCATTGTGGCCCAGAGGCAGCTGGGGATGGGATGCTGTCACTTTAGGCTATCAAGGCTGCTTACGTTATTTCGGAGCTGTGGAGCAGCCCAGAAATGGGAAAATGCAGAGGTGACTTAAAGCCACTTTAGTTCCCCGTTTGTCTGGGCTGCACCCTTTAGAATCTGTGCCTTTTACTCTAAGGGCCTTCCCTGTATTGCAAACACTAAGGGGGGCAAGGGAATAAATGTATTTTGCTGACATTTTGGTTTTATTATGGGTGCAATATAAACACAAGGAGAAAAAGGTGGAAAATGTACAATTACCGCAAAGTCATGTGCAGAACTAAAGACCAGATTCTGCTGTCACTGAAGAGAGTTTTGTCCTTGACTTCAATGACAGGAAGATAGGTTCCCCGGTTTATTTCACAGCATGGCAAACAATCCAGGTACTACAGAGCTGATCACTAATTGCCAGCTGTTCATGCCAAGATAATAATGTACATGTTCATTATTCTCCAACAAGTTTTATATCTTAATTGTTGTATATTTTAAAAAAAGGTTTTTAATTAAAATATTACTATAAACCAGATTGTTGACAAAAATAAAAGTACACACACAAACTGAGGCCCTGAGCTTGCAGACTCTTACACATCTGCATAACTTTAGGCAGCTGGGTACTCCCATTGTTTTCAGTGGCACAACTCAGGGGCTTTAAATTAAGAACACGTGTAAATTGTTTGCAGGACTGGGGCTTAAAAACATAAAAGTGATTAGTTGCCTTGAACGTTTACAAACAATAGGCTTGATCCTACGAGGGGCTGAGTGCCCTCAACTCTCTTTGAGGGCCAGAGAGTTGAGCACCTCACAGGATTTTGCCTTGTGTTAATTAGTTTGAAGATATGATGTCACATACCTGCACTGTAGCTCTTTGTACTTTATCCACCTTGAAATACTGTGTGTGGTTACTATCTTCATTGTACCTCTCCAGGGCTCTCTCAGCATCCCCTCTGTGCTGCTCAATGTCTTCTAAGGCTGTTGGTCTTCCAGGGCAGTTTTGTTCACACTTGTATAACTGTGAATGATCTGTGACAATGGCATGGTTATCAACACGGTATTATATTAACACTGTGTCATGAATGGCTCTGTGTATGTTTTTAACATCAGCTCACAATGGGAAATTGAGCAGATCAGGATTTTCTCTCAGGTGACCCACCCACCCTCTTCCCACATAGAAATTTATTTCTGCCGTTTGGGGGGAAAAAATCAATTAAAATTTACTTATGCATTTTTTCTGTTCCACTTTAGCATCTTATCACCGCAAATAAGTCCCCTCCATGGGTCTATCTACCTTTTCAGCTGGTCTCCATGAGCCTGTTTTGCTTTTAAAGATTCAGGATTTACATACTGTAATTCTACAATGCATTCTTAACATTAATTTTACTTTTTTACTTTATTCAAATGTGAATTGTGAACAGATTAACTAATCTGTCATATTTACCCTACATTAGTAGCACACCTATTTGTGCATCTGTATTGGGAACGGTTTATTACAAATATGTTGATTCATTGAACTGGTTATTGTACCTGGACTCACTGTGCAGTTATAGCCATGCAGTATTTCTTTCTTCAACTGTCTGTTTATATACATGATAGTTTTACATTGTCCAAATACCTGGGAGGAAAAAAGAATAATTATCGACTCTGTGTAATATTCCAGAATAAGGCATATGATAGAATTTAAGAGAGCATGTGGCTCTTTCGTTGATTTCATTGGAGTTATTCAGATGCAACTGAATGAAGAATTTGTCTCTCTTTTCTATATACTGTAAATACATTTAAGAATCACAAGGCCCTTTAATCTAATTGCATCTGGAATTTGATAGTTCAGATAAAATGGCACTCATTTCTAAAAGCATTTTAGTTTTGGTTTTGCCCAACTGAAAAGGCTTTGCAAAACCAAAACTGACACCAAATCCAGCCTTCTCAGCCCATCTCTAACTTTTCTTGAGTGCAGAATGTTTCTAGCCACTTGGAATAGTTGGAATTCCAGAAGCACACAGAAGTTGCAAAGCTCATTAACAAAGAGTGGATATATCTATCTTCCCTGACATTAAAAAGGGCGGCAGACACCACCCCTACCGTATGATCTTGATGCTTTCCCCCACCTATCGGCTTCACCTCTATCTTGTCTTGATTAAATTGCAGCCAGTTGGCTTCCATCCCAGATCACAACATATGGGTCTGATGTAAAGAAGATGTATTGCTGCATGTCATCTGCATACTGATGGCAGCACAGATCAAGCCATAGCATGACGGGATCACAAAGACATTGAAAAGGAGGGGTGACAAAATGTAACCTCCCACTTCTGTCTAACGTACCAGGTATATGTGGAAAAATGCACTCCCAGTGCTGCCGTAGGTACCTGGTATGAGATCTTTGGATTATCAGTGTTCCTGAGCTGAACAAGTTATCAGCAGTGGAATATAAGCATATAGCCCGATTTTGCCAGACTGGTTAACTGAAGCTGTATTTAGCTGATAGGGCCATATGACCTTTTCTCAGCCAATTAACTTGTGTTTGACAATCCAAAGTTATAATAGGTTTTATTCTACTATAGACAGACATTAATGCTTGGTTTCCACAAAGATTTACAATAGAATAGGATAGCATTGCCCAGAGGTTCACATGGAGGAGGTGTTTGTGTTGAGACGTGATTGACATACAGTTATGGAGAGATACTCTTACTTGCCATTTCATTGTGCTGTGGGAGTTTACAGTCCTCCCAATGTCTCCTGGATAATACAGAGCACTGCGTTTCCAGCACATTCAGAGTCAAATAAAGGACTGATGAATTCCCCTGGAAAAAAAGAGCAGAGAAAATACCTTTGTATGTGACAAGTTTGTTGTGAAGGAGGCAATCTAATTTTTTTTTTAGATTTGGATTACCCCTTATCCCTCTGTTGGTCTTCCCAGACACCTTGTTATGGGCTTGCCTGGGCTGGCAAGGATCTAGGGTATAGGTGAGTGAGAATGGGGGTTGTTGCATTTTATTCCTTTTGGTTTTTAGCCAACAGCACATTGGCCCTCGAACATAAATATCACCATTCTTTACTGTATCTGGCCCATGCTACAGATACATCAGTTCCTGCTGAAGTCAGTAACCAGACCTCCCATCTGAGCAATATTTCCTACCCAGATTATCCGAGAAGGGCTGCTACAGAAGTACACTCACTCCTCCAAAATCAAGAACCTGGACTCTGCAATGCGTCTAATCTGGGCTGGCCTGGAGGAGTCTGGAATTGAGATTGAAACCGCATTCCTTGTGTGGTAGCATGACGTGTTATCAGTTATTACTGGTCCACTGAAACAATCTGAAGTGAATATTTAATGAAGAATTGCGGTAGTATAACAGAATAACTCCTTATTATTGTGATGTCCACTAGTGGAGCAGAAGATAAACTAACACTTCTACTTCTATAACGCCTTCCATCCAAAGGTGTTAATGTACTTTGCAAACACCAGTTTAGCTTCACAGAACACCTGTGTAGAGGGCAAGTATTATTATCTCTTTTTTACAGATGGGGAAACTGAGGTTAGATAACTTGCGCAAGGTCAGAGTCTGTGATAATCAGGAATAGAACACAGATTTCTTAATTGTCAGTCCTGTACATTAATCACAAGATCGCTCTCTTTCTAAGGTTTGATTTGATTTTAATGTTTAGCCTATAAGCCCCAATATTAGAAGGTGCCAATTTAATCTGTTGGGAAAATGCAGGTGGGAAGATAAAGCCAAAGAGAGGGAAGCGGGGGAGACAATCAGGATCAGAAATATCTTACTCTTCCACAATGTGTTTATGGAATTGCATTGGATGAATGGCAAGAATTACTTGCACATGGACAAATCAGTCTTTTTTATAATATAATGTTCGGCAGTCTGAACCAGAAGGAACTCTCCAAAACTGAAATAATGGAATAAAAAAATCCAAGTAACTTGATAAAAGCAAGTAGGCCAAATTCATCCCTGGCCAATGTCCATTAATTTCCCCGGGATGGGTTTGTTCCATTATATCTAGTGACTAAAGCAAAGGAATTAGGAATCAGCACTCCTAAGGTCTCTTCCTTGTTCTGTCACTGATTTGCTGTGTGACCTTTAGCCAATCACTCAGAAAGGATGGTCTTGTAGTTAAGGCAAGAGCGCGGCCACCGAGAGCGGGTTCGGGCCCTGGTGAAAATTCTTTTCCGAGTCCCCCAGCAAGGGCGGACTGGCTAAACAGGGCCGACGAGAGCGGGGAGGAAGCCGGGCCCCAGGCCCCCTTCCGGACCGCCGGGCCCCGGTAATTTGTACCGGCTTCCCCCCTCTCTCGTCGGCCCTGGGCATGGGAATGGGAGCTGACTGATCTGGATTCTCTACCCAGCTTTGTCACTGACTTGCTGGGTGTTGCTTCACCTCTCTGTGCTTCACTTCCCCCACCAGCCATTGTCTCCAAAATGGAGATAACAATATAATACCTAGCTCACAGGGGTACTTTGAGCCAGTTAATTTCATGTGCGTAAAGTGCTTAGAGATCCTCAGATGCAAGAAGCTCTAAAGTAAAATATTTATACAATGCCAGAAACCTATCACCTAATTGCAGTTTAAATTCGGACACCAGACAAAGCTATTAAGGGTGTAGCCCAGATCCTAAAGTCCCACTGAAGTCAATGAGAATTGAGGGCACTCAGCAAATTGCAGGATGAGGTTCATACCTAGCGAACCAGGCCATTTTTCAAATGAACATAGAGCCAGATCCTCAGCTGGTGTAAATCAGTGCAGGTCTATGGATTGACATCAGCATAACGCCATTAAACTACAGTTGCCAACTCTGACTGAAGCTATTCTGGGAGATTTTTCCCCCCCAACATGACGTGATGTCATTTTAAAAAAATATCCTATTAAAATCTCCTGGATTGCTTTCAATGGTCACCAGGAGATCGATACCGATTCCGGGAGACTCCAGCCCAATCCTGGAGAGTTGGCAACCCTACATTAAACACAATGGCGCTATGCCAATTTATACCAGGATCCGGCCCATCGTTTTTAAACTAGAGTAGTTTGTAGATCGACCTTCAAAGTGATACTTACGGTCTGTTGTTCATGGGCATCAGCAACACGAAACAGAGTAAAAATGTAGCCATCTCTGCGGTGTTTATTGATCAAATCCAGGGCCACCCCTGCATCAGTTTCAACTGAGTCACAGTCTGCAGAAGTTACAGGAGTTTGGCTTTGCGCATTAGAACAGAGCAACAATGTGAGACAGAGTGCTGTAGAGAGCAGCTTCATTTTGTTTAAAATATGAGATCACTTTCTCCTCTCTTTGCTTTGCTAAAGCCAGTAATTTGGGTTTACATCAGAATTGCCCATGAAAGCCTGAATATGTCTGCTAAAAGAATGTGGTTATATCAATTTATAGCTACTGTGTAACTAAGGCTAATACCTTGACCCTGGATTAATATCTGTAAATGATTAAATGATGTTTGAACAAATATTGAGGAAAGCAGGCTAAGCCAGTGGTTCTCAAACTTTTGGGGCTCAGGACCTATTTGTAAATGTCACGCCACATTTCAGGAAAGATTGGAGAAAGTCCAGAGAAAAGCAACAAAAATGATTAAAGGTCTAGAAAACATGACCTATGAGAGAACATTGAAAAAATTGGGTTTGTTTAGTCTGGAAAAGAGAAAACTGAGAAAGGGACATGATAACAGTTTTCAAGAACATAAAAGGTTGTTACAAGGAGGAGGGAGAAAATTTGTTCTTCTTAATCTCTGAGGGTAGGACAAGGAAAATGGTCTTAAATTGCAGCAAGGGCGGTTTAGGTTGGAGATTAGGAAAAACTTCCTAACTGTTAGGGTGGTTAAGCACTGGAATAAATTGCCTAGGGAGGGTGTAGACTCTCCGTGATTGGAGATTTTTAAGAGCAGGTTAGACAAACCCCTGTCAGAGATGGTCTAATAATGCTTAGTCCTTCCATGACTGCAAGGGACTGGACTAGATGACCTCTTGAGGTCCATTCCAGTCCTATGATTCTATGACCCAGTAAATAATCTGGGGTTGGCCCTGGGGTGGTTTCGGTTGGATCCTGCACCCAGCTGGGTCCTGCCCGGCACTCACCCCACAGTGAGTGCTCCTGAAGTTCCTGTGCTGTGGGGCTGGCTGGGCTTGGCTTTGAAATATTCTGTCGACCCAATTTTGGGTCCCAACCCAAGGGGTTGAGAAATCCTAGGCTAAACGGTATTGTTGAAATAACGGGTGTTGCACAGGGTAGAATTGTCAGTGTGTGGATTGCAGACAGAACAAAAGCAAAAGAACAGCGACCAAAGGGACTATTTTTGCTGGCTCTTATGGCAGGGCTGGTATAATACAGTGCTGTTAATATTGAGGAGCTGTCATGAGGACTGATGTTGACTGGCTCTTAGGAGCCTTGATCCTGATTAGCAGGTGACCTTGCGGCAAGAGAGGAACTGGGCCAGATAGATTAGGGTAATGGCCTTTTCCCTCTAGATAACCACTTCACTTCCAGCCCAGATTTGTGGTTATAAGTGATTATAACATCAGGACTGCATATAGATATATAGATGACATATGTGAAAAGAGCTTGTGATCTCACCCCACTTCTTAGCTGATAGTTCATAACATCACAGGTGGTAGCAAAGTGCTTGAGACAACTTGCAGTTTTGCATACCTTTAATAACATTTGGGCAAAATTGGATGGACATTATTTTAGCCATCCATTTGCAAATTTCCATAGAAAATTAGATGGATGGCATCTTATGCCTGGACAAATTTAGAAGTAAAAAGGTAGCTATTAATTATTGGAATTGCTATAGTATATTTGTCTATAAAATACTGTGGTGATGGACACTATATGAAACCTTAAAATAGATAGGTAGATGGATAGATCTGACAAAGATAATTCTGGATTTGTCTATAAGGAGATATGAAAAATCAAAAACACAGGACCTAAGCCTTGCCCATGACTGTAAAATACACTCTTGGGCTTATTTTAAACAGAAGCATTTTTCAGACATTAATAATGAAAAATCCTTTAAAAAACAGTAATAAACCACTAGCTATTCATCATGTTAATATGACATTAATATGTGATTAAGAATGCAATTTTGGGGATTTAATAGCAAAATTATTTCATATGATTGAATTTTACAGCATAGGCCAAAATTTTCAAAAGTAACCTCTGATTTTGGATACGCAACTTGAGACATCTTGGGCCTGATTTTCAGAGGTGCTGAGCCCTCACAAATCCAAGTTGTTTAGGAGAGATAGGAATAAAGGTTAAGGTGATGGGGTACCACTGTACATCATGGAAGTGGTAAACTGTAAAGAAATATGAAGTGATAGTATGGACAAAACAGAATCTGTGTGGGTCAAAATCCCTTTGGGGAAGGATTGTAAAAAGAGGTTCAGTTGGGATAGTATTACGGGTCTGCCATAGACCCCCCAGGGTCAGACTCGGATATGGATAGTGATCTCTTTAATATTATTAGAGAGAGAAATACTTTTGATAATTGTGTAAGAATGGGAGACTAGCTTCCCAGCTGTAGCCTGGAGAATAAATGCTAATAATAGTGGCAGGCCCCACATATTCCTGGATGTGATAGATGACAATTTTCTTCATCAAGTCATCACTGAAGCAACAGAAGGTGAATGTGCACTGTTAAACAATAATAGAATACCATTTATTTAAATATTTTGGATGTTTTCTACATTTTCAAATATATTGATTTCAATTACAACACAGAATACAAAGTGTACAATGCTCGCTTTATATTTTTTTATTACAAATATTTGCACTGTAAAAAACAAAAGAAATAGTATTTTTCAGTTCACCTAATACATGTACTGTAGTGCAATCCCTTTATCATGAAAGTTGAACTTACAAATGTAGAATTATATACAAAAAAAAACCTGCATTCAAAAATAAAACAGTGTAAAACTTTAAAGCCTACAAGTTCAATCAGTCCTACTTCTTTTTCAGCCAATCGCTCAAACAAACAAGTTTGTTTACATTTGCAGAAGATAATGCTGTCTGCTTCTTGATTACGTCACCTGAAAGTGAGAACTGGCGCTTGTATGGCACTGTTGTAGCCGGCGTCGCAAGATATTTACATGCCAGATGAGCTAAAGATTCATATGTCCCTTGATGCTTCAACCACCATTCCAGAGGACATGCTGATGACGCCAGTTAAAAAAACAATGCACTAATTAAATTTGTGACTGAACTCCTTGTGGGAGAATTGTATGTCTCCTGCTCTGTTTTACCCCTGCTCACTCAGGAAACCTAGCTTTCAAAGCCTCCTGGATGCACAGCGCGTCCCGCTGGGCTCTTCTAATCGCCCGGCTGTCTGGCTGGGCGTAATCAGCAGCCAGGCTATTTGCCTCAACCTCCCACCCCGCCATAAAGGTCTCCCCCTTGCTTTCACAGAGATTGTGGAGCACACAGCAAGCTGCAATAACAATGGGGGTATTGGTTTCGCTGAGATCACAGCGAGTCAGTAAGCTTCTCCATCTCCCCTTGAGACGGCCAAAAGCACACTCCACCACCATTCTGCACTTGCTCAGCCGGTAGTTGAAGAGTTCTTTTTCAGTGTCCAGGGCGCCAGTATAGGGCTTCATGAGCCAGGGCATTAGCGGGTAGGCTGGGTCCCCGAGGATGACTATAGGCATCTCCACATCCCCAAGACGTTGATGTTTGTAAAACGTCCCCTATGGTCCACCAGTGCTTGCAGCACCATTGAAAAGTAGCCCTTTCGGTTGATGTACTGGCTGGCCTGGTGGTCCGGTCCCAGGATAGGGATGTGAGTTCCATCTATAGCCCCACCGCAGTTTGGGAATCCCATCGTGGCGAAGCCATCTATGATGACCTGCGCGTTTCCCAGGGTCACTACCTTTGAGAGCAGTAGCTCAACGATTGCGTTGGCTACTTGCATGACAACAACCCCCACAGTAGATTTGCCCACGCCAAAGTGGTTCGCGACTGACCGGTAGCTGTCTGGCGTTGCAAGCTTCCAGAGGGCTATGGCTACTCGCTTCTGGACAGTCAGGGCTGCTCGCATCCGGGTGTCATTGCGCTTCAGGGCAGGGGACAGCAACTCACAAAGTTCCATGAAAGTCCCCTTCCGCATGCGAAAGTTTCGCAGCCACTGTGATTCATCCCAGACCTGCAGCACTATGCGGTCCCACCAGTCCGTGCTTATTTCCCGGGCGCAGAATCGCCGTTCCACAACATCAACATGACCCATTGCCACCGTGATGTCCTCGGCGCTGGGTCCAGTGCTTTCTGACAGGTCTGTGCCACTCTCAGACTTCAGGCCCTCACCGCGCTGCCGTAGCCTCCTCGCCTGATTTCTCTGCATCTGCCTCTGGGAAAGGTGGATGATAAGCTGCGAGGTGTTGACAACAGCCATAACTGCAGCGATGGTCGCAGCGGGCTCCATGCTCGCAGTGCTTTGGCGTCCGCGCTGTCACTGACCAGAAAAGTGCACGAACTGATTTCCCGCCGGCGCTTTCAGGGAGGGAGGGCGGTAGTGACGGACGGATGACGACAGTTACCCAAAAGCACCCTCGACACATTTTTTTACCCAGAAGGCATTGGCGGCTTGACCCAGAATTCCAATGGGCAGCGGGGACTGCGGGAACTGTGGGATAGCTGCCCACAGTGCACCGCTTCCAATGTCGACGCTTTCCCCGTTAGTGTGGACTCACAAAGTCGAATTACTGTCCTTAGTGTGGACACACACGTTCAATTTTGTAATATCGATTCCACATATTCGATTTAAGTAAAATCGAACTACTCTCGTAGTGTAGACATACCCTGAGGGCTTGCAAAAACCTCCATGCAAATGTGCATGTGTAAATGTACCATTATCTTCATAACCTACTGCACAGACATCACAGCATTTGAAAATAAAGAACATGCCCCAATGCATTCACACACTTCATCTAGTCAATGCACAGGCAAAATTACTTCCCCATGAGATTTTAGAAAACTATCCTGTAGTAGAGTCTGTTTACCTAGTTGAGACCAGTGGATTTGCATTGCTAAAGCTAATGTGAGTCTTTGGCTTTAATGGCCTTTCCTCCACGTAGTATTGTAGCACTTGTGGTCATCGGAAAAATTCAAGCGAACAGCTCCCTGGTTTCAATGTGTGTTTGCGTCATGGAGGATAGCCCCTGTTCTCAGTGGGGAAACATACTTGACTGTAATTGTTTCTTTCGTTGGTCCACCAGAATCCAAGTTTGGTGACCTTTAGGACATGCTGCAAGACTCACCTGTTCACTCAGGCCTTTTCAGGATCAGGGGGGTTAACTGGGGCATGAGGGTGGTATTATGGGATGGAGTTTGGGGAGACTTTTAGGAGGGCTGTTTTTCTGAGGCTTA